TATTTTCTGATCCTTAGGATTTATGATTAATTTGTTAAATATAAAACAGAGGCTGAAAAGAGTAGGCGAAGGATGCCGAATAAGTAAGCAAGTTCTTATATTTTGATAAATGAGTCATAAGTTTCTAAGGCTCTCGGCCATATTGGTATCAGAGCCTACAATCTCGGCAAACTGAGGCCATAATACTATTTTAGAGGATAGAGTGAGTAGAAGAGAGACTTTACTACCATGGAAAATCCTACCTCAGAAACTCAACCCGCCTTCCTAAATACCTATTTATCTTTACCTAACCATGTCTCTAGAACTCTAGCACCAAAGATTGAAAACCTAGTTGAATTTTCCTATGTCCCTGAAGATTTAAAACCTTTCCCAATTTGATGTCGTATGTTCAATGAGACCTTGTCTGAGCAGTTCTTGACATTCTTGTTTGGCAAGCTTAAGATCAGATGGAGACATGCCTGGATGGGATGCTTTTGTGGGATTTATGTCCTCATTTAGCTTGAATGGCAATCGTATAAAGAAATCAGGATTCTTCCAAAGTGGTTTTGGATGAGTGAAATCTTTATGATTATCAGAACATAAAGACCTCAATTGTATCTTGATTTCTTCCAATTCTGGTGGAGCTTCAGAAAGGGAATATAGCTTACTGGTTGGCACGAAAGGCTTAAATTCTCCTTTGAATTTGAGTCCACTTGGATGAATGAGTAACCTGTGTGCTTGAGTGAAGACATCCATTCCAATTAAGATATCTTTGTTAGGCAACTGAGTTCCAACGAATTTAGACAAAATTATGCAGTCTTTGAAGAGACGAATGCTTATTGGTGCTCGTGAAATGACTTCTGTTCTGAAGGTCTTTCCGTCAGCTGCTATGAAGAAGGTATCTTCCTTCCTCCAGAAATGAGGTGGCAAGATTTCTGGATTCATCATAGTCTTTGAGGCACCTGTGTCAAAGAAACCTATGACTTTGATAGGCTTCTCATACTTAGATGGTAGGATTTCAATTTCCACATTGGGGTGTGAAGGAACAACGGTTGTCATACTATCGGATTGTTCGACAGCGAAGATAGGAACTGGTTCTTCCTCTTGACTATAGTCATCTGTATCACTGCTAGAGTCATCTGAGAAAGAATCTTGTAGGGCAAATGCAGTATCTTCATCTGTAGAACTCTGTTCTGAGTAAAGAGACTCTACATCATCTTGGTCATTTAGATGTAACGACGTAATCATCTTTATGGCCTTTTGAGCTTTGTTTGGGCAGTTCTTAGCAAAATGTCCTTTTTTGCCACAGATGTAGCATCTTTGACCTAGAGTTTTCCCATGAGTCTCTTTCTTTTTAAAAAACCTATAAGGTTTTTTATACTTCTTCTTCTTGTAGTGAGATTTAAACTTCTTGCCCTTGAATGTTTTCTTTGGACAATAACACCTAGTCCATCAGCCGCTGGTAGGTGGCCCCCGCATTTTTGAGACCGAAGGGCATCACTCGGTAGTAGTAGTTGGCGTGATCGGTGATGAATGACGTGTGCACCTCGTCTGGTGGGTACATCATGATCTAGTTGTACCCAGAGTAAGCGTCAAGGAAACTGAGGAGGGCGTGCCCGGATGCTCCATCAACCAGCCTGTCTATGCTCGGCAAGGGGTACGAGTCCTTGGGACATGCCTTGTTCAAGTCAGTATAGTCAACGCACATGCGCCACTTCCCTGAGCTATTCTTCACCAGGACCACATTTGCCAGCCACGTGGTATACCTGACCTCACGGATGAAGCCTGCGTTCAGTAGCTTTTGCATCTCGGTAATGATGGCCTCCCGCCTTTCACCACCGACCTTCCTCTTCCTCTGGGCGACTGGCTTCGCCTCCTTGTGAATTTCCAACCTGTGACAGATGAAGTTAGCATCTATACCTGGCATGTCGGCGCTGGACCATGCAAAGAGGTAGGCGTTCTTGGTGATTTCATCTTCGAGCTGTTGCCGTAACTCCAGGTTCAGCTGCCTACTGATTTTCGTGCATTGCCCAAGAAGCTTTCCGATCTGGAGGTCATCGAGCTCGTCGATGGGACTCGACCGTTCATCATGAGAGTCTGACCTCGGATCCAGGTCAGTGATATCCACGTGGGTGATGTGAGCCACTGTGGGGGGATCACTTCAGCAATGCTCGTCGGATGAAGAGACTCTCAAACTTTCGGCGTAGCACTGTCGAGATGTCTTCTGGTTTGCCTTGACAGAGATAATCTTGCCATCACTCCCTGGAAACTTCATGGTGAGGTGTGGGGTAGACACCACTGCTCCGAGTTGGTTCAACGTCGGCCTTCCAATAATTATGTTGTATGACGTGTTGGCTTCTACGAGGAGGTATCGGACCATAATCCTCCTTGTGTCAGGAGAGGATCTGAAGGTTGTCCGTCCATTCGAAATTTTTTGGCTTGCGTAGTAGGGTGAAGATGGACCCCACTTTCTCTACCAGCCTGGGGATAAAACGGGACAGGGAAACCAACCTTCCCGCCAAGCGTTGGACTTCCTTCACACTTTGAGGGCTTTGCATCTAGATGATGGCTTTGCACTTCTCCGGGTTGGCCTCGATCCCCCTGTTAGTGATCATGAATCCAAGGAACTTACCTCCCTGGATGCCAAAGATGCACTTTTCTGGGTTGAGGCGCATGTTGTGCTTCCTGATCCGCCCGAACACCTCGGCCAGGTCGGCAGCATGACCCTCAGCCGAGGTGGTTTTGACCACCATTTCATCGACGTAGACCTCCATGTTTCGTCCGATCTGCTGGTGGAAAACCTTGTCCATCAGCCGCTGGTAGGTGGCCCCCGCATTTTTGAGACCGAAGGGCATCACTCGGTAGTAGTAGTTGGCGTGATCGGTGATGAATGACGTGTGCACCTCGTCTGGTGGGTACATCATGATCTAGTTGTACCCAGAGTAAGCGTCAAGGAAACTGAGGAGGGCGTGCCCGGATGCTCCATCAACCAGCCTGTCTATGCTCGGCAAGGGGTACGAGTCCTTGGGACATGCCTTGTTCAAGTCAGTATAGTCAACGCACATGCGCCACTTCCCTGAGCTATTCTCACTATCTTCTTCTTCACTAGTGTCTCCTGAGTGCATCCATAAATCGCACTCAGGATCGCACATTTCTGGGGCAACATCCCAGATGAAGTGACCGTCGATTCGGTCGGTATAGATCTCTCTCCCATTTGCATGTACTGCAAAGATGGGAATTCTTTTTTCCTTGACGAAGGGTTCTAACATCATTGTTTGAAAAATTGGACCTGAGGCTTTCTCAGGTTGTTGAAAGATTGTTCTGACCGTTCCGTCGACGGATCTTCTGAAAGTTGCTTGATCCATTTGGATTGGCTTTCCATGGTGCTTATGGAGATTCTCATAATTTGTCACCCATTGTAATGGGATGAGCTCCTTCAACTGTTCCCTGGAGATATTCCTGGGAACCTGGACGATCGATGGACTTTTTTCTGCCTGGTTTGCAAGAACAAACAAGGCACTATCATTGCTGCTGGGTAAGGCCAAACTGACCGCATGAGTCTGTAGCCTATATATGATTTGGTAGTGGAGAGTAGCACAAACAGCATCGGCGGTCTGGGCAGCTCTGGTTATCTGGACTTGTACCTTTAGTCTTTCTGGTACAATGGGGTCTCTTAAGCTAACATTGTAATTGGGAAACAATGTTAAGACAACACTTCCAGCATGGAGTGTAGTCAAGATCGTTCCTATGACAACATTTTCGTAGTGCAGGTAACTGGTATCTAGCAAGGAGATCCTTGAAGAGACAGGAAGTCCTCGTCTCCCATGTAAAGTGAGCATAAGCCTGATGGCCCCATAGTGGAGATGGGTGTAGCCATCTGTTCTCCAATGTCGGATGAGTTCCCTTGGGATCTCAATAGTAACGTACTGCTCTTCAGAAGTAGCCATTAAAGAACACTGTTCCATCTTAGAAGATTGAACGTATTCCTTTTCATGTGGACGAGAGGTTCTGACCAACGGCCTAATAGATCTAAGAGTAGATCTTTGGCGTTTGAATATATTATATGGACTTAGAAGGGGGGCAGTGCTCTCAGAGATCTGAGCATCTTCAGGGACATAGGAAAATTCAACTAGGTTTTCAATCTTTGGTGCTAGAGTTCTAGAGACATGGTTAGGTAAAGATAAAGAGGTACTTAGGAAGGCGGGTTGAGGAAAAAAAGAAAAAAACTTAACTTTTAATAAAGTTAGTTTCTATTACATATGTTATAATGAATCTTTGCATGTTAGAAGAAAGACTCTTTATATTAACAAAATCGAGCTCATCAGATCTAATCTAAGCTTTGAAAAGAAAACAACATATTAATTTTCTTCACGAAATGGTTAAAAAAAATGATTTTCAATTATGTAGTACTTATCTTTTATTATTATTATTATTTTTTATTTTATAAAAGACTCTTACCATCTATAACAATGAAAGTTAAAGTTTATTTGATAATTTATAGAAAAATAAATATTAAGTTACATATGTTCTTAATCTCTACAAGTAGCGAAACAAATATATACAATCGAGTAATTTTATTTTAATTTCTTATTTTTATCTTTAAAATTTTAAAATTATTATTTTAATTATTATTATTATATATATATATATTAACTATTTATTTATTTATTATAAAATTAAATAATTATTTCAAATATTACTTACAATATTTGTGACACGAAGTTACGTGTGATGTTTTTAGTTTCTTCTATAAATTTTTAGAATAATTATTGTTTATTCATTTTTAAATGATTGCTAAAACTAAAAAAGAATGATATGGTATTTTAGAAAAGAATATTAATTTTTTACGGTTTAAAATATCAAAATTTACACATTTTATAAAAGTAAAAATAATGTTCACAATTTTTTTAAAATCAATATTTACAAAATTATGAAAATAAAGAAAATAATTGGCTTCTCGAATCATAAATGACTGTTTTGCCCTCGTTTTGTACTTTAAGGGGTTCCCCGTTTAGGTGTACACTCTCTTTGGTTTTTCATTTTCACACTCATGTCGGTGTCTGTAGAGCGCGAAATTGTGTCGTTTCGGGATTCTGACACTCGGAGCAATCTTCGAAGAATTCTTGAGTCATGCTCTAAAGTAAGATCAATCACTTTTTGCTTCCTAACTGTTATTTTTGATTTTATAGAATTTCATTTATGTGTTTTTTTATTTATTTATTTATTTAAATAACTTTGATTAGTGGTGATTATTAACTATGGTGAGGAAATAGGACAACGAAAAAAAAAGTTAAAAAATGAATGCTTATGCTTGTGTTGTTATGAGTTGAAAGCTTAGTATTTACTAACATGCTATGGTTGTGATGGTTGAATTATACTTGGTAGTTGGCAGAGGCTGGAGATTTTCATGAGTCTGAAAAGTCAGTTTCAGAGCTTATTAAGTTTCTTGATTCTTTGCTGGATGCTGCTGGGTCTGACCCAGACAGTGATAATGCAGAGAATGTTGCATTTGAAGCTATCTCTGAGATCCATAGATATGTTTGTTCTCCTTCTCTTGACCAGGTGGGTTAACTTTAACATTTCAATCATGTTTCACATTCAGGATTTTTAAGTGTTCCATAATATAGACTTGGAAATAAAAAATAAATAGAGGCATGTTAACAGAAAAAAATCTCTACAGTCAACTTTTCCATGCATTTTGCCAAGTTTGAACTATTGGATGAAGATCAAATGACTCGTACTTTAGCTCAATAAATTGGACTTAAAACACTAATTTGAGATTTGAGTCATCTGATCTTCATTCAATATGCGTGGAAACAGCTGCGCCAAATTCAGTTACATTGGGGGCATCTAGTTTTACTTTATACAAAAACCTTTTATGGGACTAGAAAGGGGAGTTTAATAATTTTATACTGAAACATATTCTTTCAAGCTCACAGTTTAGGGTAAAAGAGAGATAGAGATAGAGTAACACCAAGAGTGATGTATTGATTGTTTGGTGATGTGGCAGGAAGTTGTTGATGCCCTTTCCTTTGAACTGCCAAAGGCTATTTCAAAGTTTGTGGTGGTTTCAAGTAAATTTTTGGACATGGCAATTAGCATCATCGATCAGTTTATTGAGAAATGTGGTCCAAGGGATATGCTCTCGATTCTCTGTAACGTGAGTTTGCCTTTATTGTGAGTAAATGTATATTAGCACTTCAAAGACGCGCACACTGTCACCTTAATTCTCCATTAACCAAAGGCATCAAATTGGTCCGTAAGTGACCAATTTGATGGCATAAATTGACAAGTAAGGATCGAGTTGATGTATTTCATAATGTGAGCCAGCCTGATGATACGTATATCTTTGAGGACAAAATAGATATGTTCTGCTCTATTTAATATATGTTACTTGTTGTTTACATCTTTTAATATCTGCTTACCACTTTGGCTGAGTTGAAGTAGATAATTTGACTAAGTGAAATCATGCATTAATGTGTATATACAAATGGATTCTTTGGTAACTTTTGTTATGCCCCCTCCTCATGAGTTGGCAATACTAATGACTATTGGATGCTTGTTGAACAAACCTCAATGTAGAATCCAATTAGTCAAATGATGCCAAAAGCACAGGTACCATAGGAACCTCCATATTTACAGATGTACCTACTTCGCATTTTGAATTTCGCATTTATTCTTGACTTGTGATCCATTTCCTTCCACCTTATGCAAACCCATCATTTAACCCCACACCTCCTACACATGTATTTCTCACTTTCACTTCCTGCTATGTTGTTATCCTTGCTCACTCTGAAATATTCACTTTCTATCAAATGGTCTTCTATATATAAAAAAGAAAAACTCATTTTCTCATAATTATATCATAATTGTCATGCAAAGAACTACAAGTCAGTGACAGTTTGGATTTTAATTTATTTAATTTTGGTTAATATGTTGATCCATATGCTTCTGTTAATTTATTGAACAGACATTAGGTTACTCAAGTAAGATGACCAAGGCTTCCAGTTACATTCTCCCTCCTTTATCGGGGCTTTCTAAGGGTAATAATTCATTGCGCTGACCTTTTTAATCAATGGATAGATAGAATATAAAACTGTAATCTCTGTTCAGTGAAAGAAAGATGGCAGTAATTGCCTAGTTAATCACTTCAATGTAGGGCATGTGAATCACTTGACTGGATTCAATTTATGAACTTATTTTCGGTTTTCTTCAGGGTTTTAAATATAGTGTATAGTTGTGTAGCAGTGTCTAGCACCCCCTGCATGCTATAGGGCGGCTGTAGTGGGGTGGTTTATTGTAGCAAATCAAATAGCGGCTGTAGCAGACGCTATAGCAGTGATATGTTTTGATTCTGAAAAATTCCTCTGAACAGAGACATTAAAACTTTTTTGGAGGTTATTTTTTGGGATTTAACAAAAAAATGAAATCGATAGATTTAATAATAGTGAAAATGATAAAGAAGACTTGGATTTAGAAGATGACAATGATGGATGGTTACTATCTTGGAAACTTGTTTTTGACTTTTGTTGACTTGTATGTTTACTCAAGACACCTATGATTTTTTTTATTGTTAAATCATAAATGTCATAAATTTTGAGTGTCTTTTTTTTTATCATTTTTGAGAATTTATATGTATATAGTATAACATTATAAAAACTATATAAAAGATTTCAAAATGATGGGTATCCCAATATATGCTATCTTGCTATACTGTTTTTGGGGCCAGCTACTGCGCTCCACTATCAGGATTTAAAACATTGGTTTTCTTGAATCTTAGTTGCTTTGGGCTTGATATGAAGAGAACCCACTCCTTAGTCATTACCCTCTCTTGCCTTTAAATTATAATCCAGGCTTATTTTCTTGTTCACAGCCTGAGTTTAATCAGATTTATGTAATGACTATACTATGTTAATGTTGAGAAAATTGAATATGATATTTATTTTATGGATACTTGTTATGTTAAGATATATATTGAGGTTATTTATAATTTTTTCACCACTCTTACACTAAGCAAATAGGATCAATTTAAAAGAGATGTTTCTATTGGATTTTGGTCACATGTATAAATAAAGGATGGAACCAGAGAAACTATTCCTGAACACTAACAGGACAGTATGCTTTTGCTTCAGTATTTTGAATGGTTCTTATGTGGATAAATTTTTTAGGTTTAACACAGTGACTTGAACTAGAGTTTAACAGGATTCATAACAATCAAATCTGAGACAGTTTTCCTTTGGGTTAAGGGACATGATATGGATGAGAAAGAACTATATTGCTTTCTTTCAGTGAAGAAATTATATTTCTCTGGACGATATTGAAGCAATTTTTGGATTGAATAATGGAGAGCATTGGTGAAATATAATTTTTTTTTTATGCTGTGAGGTTTAAATGATTCATATTTGAAATTTGGACTTTTGTACCTAATCACAAATAAAATAAGTATCCCTAAGGTCCTTAGCTTCAGCTTGACATTAAAACACCTAGTCTTGTTAGCTGCCTATTGTATTGCAGATTTTATTAGACTAATTTTTGTTTTAGCATGAAGACCAATGGAGAATTTATCTTACCACATAGCCATTATGTTAATGTTGAAGGTTATCTTTGTTGATGATTCATGAAATGCAAAACCTATATGCTAGTTTTGGGCTGAGCAGTTATGTTTCATTTTGTCTCTGTCAATTATTTGAAGCTGCAATGTTTCAAGTTTTTTTTTTTTTCCATACTTGTCTTTTCAGTCTTTATTTCAATTCAGAGACGTCAGTTTGAGCATATAAAAGAAGCTGTTCCTATAATTCTGAATGTATTGAAGGCTGTGTCATTGGAGTCAGAAGATGATGAACTTGAGGATGTGTTTGACAGAGCTGTTGATATTGCAAATTCTATATATGAAGTTTGTAATAAGTTGGTCCGTCAATTTCAAACAATTATCTTCTTCTTTGTTAGAAAAGCTTAAATGACTGATTTATTTTCAATTATTTTGTTGACGTTATTTTCCCTTTCCATTTTGACAATAGGAGAGGGATGCAAAAGAGAAACTCCGAGATCTTCTTGGCCTATATGTCCTGCAATGCATGGTAGATTTTTTTTTTTGTTTTTTTTTTTTTTGCTGAATGCAATGCATGGTAGATGTCTCTGTACTGCATTAAAAACTTTATTATTCTTATTTGTATTTCTCTTCTAACTACTTGTAGTAAAATTGATTACTTATGACATGGCTTTATGATCCACTCTAATATGATTTAATATGTTACCATGCACTATTCAGGCTCTTGTTTCAGCTGGCATAAGCTATAAAGCTTCCAGTTGCCCTTCTTTGGTATTACAATTGTCACAAATTTCTTCATATTGTGGTTTATCATATCTCAGTCTATTAACAACTTATGATGTAGAGACTGTTGCTGGCTCTGTGTTTGGAGGTAGTACTCTTAATTTACTGTGTGTCTACTGTTAATTTATATCAATGCTAATGTAAGCACTATTTACACTGCTTTACGTTTTTTTTCCCCTCAATTTTCCAGAAGATAAAGATCACTGTACTGGTTGTTTATCCCACGTCAAACATGGTGCTGCTCTTTCAGGTTTGTGTTCGGATAATTACTATTTTCTGTAATTGAATCCTTGCCTTTTCTTTTGTGTTACTCTTTCACTAACCCATCAAACTGCATTCTTTTCTTTTTGTCCCAGTAATTTGGGGGCATGTCTCAGAGGGGGTTGCTCATACTGCTAAAGAGGATTTGATTGCCATCCAGGATGAACTTCGTAATAACCAAACAAAAAGGTGGCAAGCAATAGGAACATTAAAGCATGTACTTTCCTTTGTAAATCTCCCATGGGAGTTAAAGAAACATGCTACCGACTTCTTGCTTTGCATCACAGATGGAGATGTCTCTGGAAACTACAATGAAGAACATTCTGAATGGTCATCTTATATGCCAAGTCTTTTCTCGGCTTTGCAGGTTATGTTTACTGCTGTTTTTGATGTCTGTTTATCATTTGCTCATTCTTTTACTTTCTCAATGAAGAAAGAAAATGCTGATATATGTTTCTCTTATGTTACTCATTAACCTTACAGGCTGTAAAAATGGTTATCATGTATGCCCCAGAGCCAGAACTTAGAAAAAAATCCTTTGCTGTGTTAAAAGGAGTGAGTTCCTAATACTAGACAGCACCTCTTTTCTAGTTATGTATGCAACATGAAATGAGCATTTTTTGAAATTGAGATATACGATGTTTGTTAATCCCTATCTTGGGCATGTTTTTGTTGAGATTTTTATTGGTACTATGCTGGTTTTTACTCAAACTAGGTACTTGCTGATATTCCAATTTCTGAAAGATTTGACATTTTGAAAGCGTTGATTACAAATACCGACTCTTCCTCAATGGTAATCCCTTGAGTAGAATTTGTTTATCTTTGTTCTTTATTTTGCTGTCAAAAGTTAAATCATCTAATGGTAGTCTTGTGTCTTTTTGAAGATCGCCATTTTCATCGATCTTGTCAGGAAGGAAATGCATACAACAATCTGCAGTAGTAGATCAATAGTAAAAACTGCCCAGCAGATAGATAACAAAGCGTTTCCAGATACATCATTTTGGAATCCAAGTGTCCTTGAGTTGGTGGAGTTGGTTCTAAGACCTCCACAGGGTGGACCTCCTTCCCTGCCTGAGCAGAGTGATGCGGTATTCTTTCTATTTCATCTGTTCTTTGTAATTTTATGTATTCCTGATTTCCTGAAATGCATATATTTGAAGTAGCATTTGGTGTTATTGTCATTTCTTTTCGAGTTATGAACTGATGAAAAAGTTTTAATTAATGGCATTATGTGTTATGATCCACAGGTGTTGTCAGCCCTCAACCTATACAGATTTGTATTGATGACAGAATCTGCAGGTATGTAGCATCAATTAATTATCAATTAAACCAATCAAAAAAGGGGAAAACTACACAACAAGTGTTCTTGATAAAAATATATCCAATGTCAAGCAGTGGTTAATGAGTTACAGTTTGAGTTAATGAACCACTTGAATGGTTAATTGTTCCTAAACAGAATTGCTTTTACCTGGAATTTTCATTTTCCAATTTTCTGAAAAATTTGAGATTATGTTACATCTTTGTGGTTTGATAATTTGTGATTGTCAAACACAATCTATATGAAGTCTAATTAGGAAAGATTTGACAATTTCATTGGTAACAGAAAAGACAAACCACACTGGAGTGCTGTCAAGGAACAGTTTAGTGAAGGCCTACGATGAATGGTTGCTACCTTTGCGTACCTTAGTGACAGGCATAATGGCAGAGAGCAAGAGTGATTATGATGAGTTTGCAGTTGACATTGAATGCACCCTAAATCCACTTGAGTTGGTGATGTACCGGTGCATTGAACTTGTAGAAGAGAAGCTAAAGCAATCCACATAAGCTTCCCCATTAGCCATAGGATTTTTGAAAAAAAATTGGTACATGTTATTTTTGAAATGTTGATCATCTAAAGCAAGTTTATCGAATTGCAATTCAAATCGTGAATCGTCAAGCCAATTTTTGAATCGTGATTCATAATAATAAACTATATCGATTCGTTCGATTTAGAAACAGATAAAACAGCTAAAACAGCTTCAGATACATCATATAAATGATGTAATGCATTGGAATAGCCAAATACAATGCAATTGCAGAGTTAGTGACAATGCAATTGCAGAGTTAGTGACAATGCGAATTGCGAAACCCCTTTCAAAAGAATGAAAATAAAGCATATGAATCATAAAATAGGCTGTGTTTAATTGGTGTTTCTTTAGTTCCTTTTTTGTTTAATCATTAAGCTTATCAGACTTTTCAATTTCTTTGATAAGAAATGGTAAAATGAAATTAAAAAAAATATGAAAACACATTCACGCATCCCCATGAGATATGGAGACACTTGGCTAGAAGCTTTTAGTTAACATTCTAAAACATGATACGACTCAAATAACTAGATGTTGGATCTTATAAACACTTTGGAAAACTTGTTGCTGGTTATTTTATTTCTTTAATTTGTAGTAGTTTTAGTCTAATTTTCTTGCTTCAATAATTTGCAATAGTGGACTAAAATAATAACTTGAATTACAACAAATTAAAGAAATAAAATGTTGAGTCTTGAAGACGATGTTTTCTTAAAATAATAACTTGAATAAACATTTTATCTATTTTAGTGACAAATTTGAGTTAAATGAAATGTTATGTATGTTACTTCCTCAATCTCTCAAGTGTCAACCACTTACATGTTCCCACATTTGACATTTTTTACAAAAGAAAAAGAGTAATATTAACAACATTTTCTTAGATACTATCTTATTAATACTTGTTTTTACTACCTTCACTTTATAGTCATTGTTATCACAAGCAAAGAAACTCACAACAAAATATATAGAGAAAGAAAATTGAAAAAAGTCTTATAGCCTATCATACAAAATATATAGAGAAAGAAAATTGAAAAAAGTCTTATAGCCTATCATTTTTGAGTATGTGTGAACCAATGAAGTATGACTTTATAGACAAGACGAGATCCTTCATAAACTCATAAATGTAATTGTCTCTTTAATTTAATTACTCCATTAAAAACTAATAATGTAAAAAATTTAAAAATTGTAACAATTATATTAATTTTGATTATGAGCCATTTAAGGTTTATATTTTAACACACTTGACTCATATATTATTAATGACAATCTTTATTTGACAATCAAATGTCAACTTAAATTTGATATTGTCACTAAAAATAGTTACATACAAATCATGACAATTATATTTTAGGTTAAACATTTATTTTCATATATTACAACGCGTGATCTTTTTTTAGTAAAATATTAGGTCCTAACTTTATTGATATAATGTGAATATGTTCATGACTAACTTTAATGTGCGCAATGTCATATAAAAGGAAGGACAAGTATTATTATAAACTTGTAAGACTCATTTGAATTACATGATTTTTAAACACTTTAGCTTAAAATCTTTTTTTTAATGGATCAACTATCATGGATTCTATGTCTATGTACTTTATAAAGATTAATACTCTCTTGACTCAAACTACCATAAACTTAATATCTATATCAGCTCCCACTCTTATTATTGGCTGAAAAGAATATTGCAGTCAAATTGTCACAAAAACATGTTTAATGGTCTTTCAACAAAGTTTACAACTTTAAGATCAGAAACAAAGTTCTTAAACCATCTAGTCAATGATGTAGCTTTGTAGTAACAGATGAATTTCACTTCAATAGTAGATGATTCAACAATTGTTTGTTTTTTGCTTCTCCAAGAGATAACACCTTCATCTAAAAAGAATATATAGTTTGAAGTGGACTTTTTAGAGTTTATGCATCCAACAAAATTGAAATATGTGTATCTTTTTTTATGTCCAAATCAACAATATATTTGCAGGTCAACTTATAATCAATAGTTCCTTGAAGGTATCTCATAACCCCTTTGTTGCCTTCCAATGCTTCATGCTTGGATTACTTTGATATCTTTCCAACATTCCTATTGTGAAGGCAATATCATGTCCAGTGTTGACTTGAGCATATATAAGACTACCTACTACTAAAGCATAAAGAATTATTTTCATCTCCCTGTTTCAATGTTGTTTGGGGACTTTGATTGAGGCTAAATTTTCCCCTTTAACTATAGGTGTAATAATTGATGAACAATTTTGCACATTAAATCTTTTCAAAACTCTTTCTATGTAGGACTTTTAAGATAATCTCAATGTCCTTAGAGATCTATCTTTGTGAATTTCTTTGCCAATGACATAGGAGGTTTCACCCATATCCTTCATATCAAAGTTCTGAGAGAAAAAATTTAGTATCATGTAAAAGACCAAGTCACTACTTGCAAGCAAGGTTGTCAGTAAGGTTATATGGCAGATGGCGACAAGGACCTTTAAGTGCCATACTGCCATGGCGGATAAAAAATAAAAATAAAAATAATATATATATATATATATAATATGATGCAAAAATAGAAAAATAACAAACACATATATTAAAACCAACAATATAACAATCTAAAATTCATGGCATTCATAAACTAGTGATAGTCATCATAAAAAGACATAAATTTCTAACCAACAAAAGGATAGGATCTGAAGGTTGTCAGCAAGTCCACGTATCCTCGAGTGTGTACTCGCTCTCTTACAAATCCAACTAGTGGTTCTGTGTGAGGTTGGATAAGGGAGTGAGGGATATCTAACCTGAGGAACGTCGGCCAATATAGGACGTCAACCAAGCTTCCTTGGTCAATCAACGTCTTATGGACCTCCCAATTGGTGACCTCCATGACGATGACCATTGGATCGTCCTGGTTGGGGCAAACGCCAGTGTAGTCGTTGTCGGTGAAGGTGATAGGTGATGAGCTTTGGTGCGAGACCGAGGTATTAGAGTGGACATTGTTGATACTGCGCAGGTGTCTCTTTCGGGCAGAGCTACTGGATCCTCCCCCTGCAAAGCCTCCTGCAATTGTGTTGATTACTCCTTGTAGGGGAGCTGACCCTGTTTCCTGGCTTACCTCGGCCTGCTACGCCACCGACATTTTGTTGAGAGCCAAAGGGTTGGTCCGTGCAAGCTCCAGAACCACGACCTCTGCCCCGTCCTCTTCCATTGTATCCTCCTCGGTGGCCCTGCTGTCGTTGGACGTATTGGCCG